CATCGGGCCCACCCTCACTCCCCATCTCTGTCACAGGGGAAGAGACTGAGACCCAATGAGATCAAAGGTCAAGGGCGTGTTGTCAAGGGAAGTCGGGTCTCTGCCTCCTCAGCCGGCGCTTCTGCTGCAGAGGCTCACCGTTTTCCCAAAGAGAGGCTTAAGAAAGGTTGGATTAACGATAACAGAGCCACATAGGGAGAACTTGCTGTGGATCCAGAGACGTTTGCCACCATCATCTCGCTGCTAATCCTCAAGGCACCATAATGAAATTGAAATATTTTCATTTGGTGGTTGAGGGAACTGAAGTTCGGAAAGATGCTGTGGCTTGCACAGGGTCACAGGGATTTGAGCCTGTCTCTCTGACCCCAAGGCTCATGGTGTTAATTATTCTGTCTCCTCTCCCTCTGTGCCATGTGAGGGAGAGAAAAGAACGGTCCCTGTGGGGATGAGGCTGATCCCTGGGAAGTTGATGGGTCGGTATGTGCGCGTCCACGTGGATGTATCCAACACAGACACACACAAGTGTGGCTTCCTGTCCCGAACGTGTGTAGATCTAACTGGAAGTTTGGCAAGGCCTCGTGGAACTTCGTTTTCCCTTTGGGCTCCAAAGACAGGACCATGGCTTCCACGGTGACTGTATCACTTCAGTTGCTCTGATGCCTTGAGAACTTACCCCAGGGGGACTGTCGTGGCCAGGAAATGTACGGACTCCTCCAGGTCAGGCAGGACTGCTGACCTAAAGTTATGGACTCTGCCACTTGAGAGCGGCCAGAGCCCCTTTTACATTGGCATTGGCATGATGGTCTTGGATGTGTCTGGAAAATGTAATACACAGAGGCTTTTCGGCAGCCTCTCTCAGCGGCTCTGCGTCTGGGGGACTGAAGTCGATGTGAAGCGTGAGTGAAGGGGAGAATATAGGTTTCGGCACCTCAGTGTTTTGCTGAGGGTGCAAGATTCCATAGCTGAGGCGAACGTGCACGCACTGATCAGTCTACTAGTAGTTTCCGACTCACGGACATTTTTAAGAATTCAGGTCAGGTGCTCATTGATTCGATCAGCAGCTGTCCATTCACTCCCTCCTTTCGCCAGGCCCTGAGTTTAGAAGCTGTGATCCTCAAAATCCATCAGTGTGTATTTGAAAATCCCTCCTAGCCTGGGAAATTGTCATCTCATCAGAGAAACACATAGCTTATTGAGGTATAATATTATTACGCAAACAGAAATTGGATATTTACATCGAATTAAGGATTTGTGAATGAAATGTTACCATGTCTGGGAGTTCCTTCAGTGTGATACAGGGGAAGTGGGTGGCAGTATAAATGAAACAAGATTGGCCACGAGTTAGTAATTATTGCCACCAGAGAATGGAAAGATGGTGATTCATTACCCTAGTCCACTTTTGCATAAGTTTAAAATTTCCCGTCAAGAAAAAGAAAACAAGGATGGGGGCACTTGGGTGGTTCAGTCGGTTAAGCTCCCGACTTCAGCTCAGCTCATGATCTCACGGTTTGTGGGTTCGAGCCCCGCATCGGGCTCTGGGCTGACAGTTTGGAACCTGCTTTGGATTCTGTGTCTCCCTCTCTCTCTCTCTCTCTCTGCCCCTCCCCTACTTGCACTCTGTCTTTCAAAAATGGATAAACATTCTAAAAAAAGAAAAGAAAACAAAACAAGGATGAATTGAGGGGTCATAGAACTCCCACCTTCATCCAGGTTACAGAGGGACATATATCCCCAGTGACTTCCATTCATCTTTTCCCTCCTGGAGAACAGACTGGATGAACTCTTGAGGTAAATCTCAGCTCCGCACGGGGACCTGCAGGGCTTTGCATCATCTGGCCCCTGCGTGTGTGGAGTGTTTTCCCTTCCTTCCTTCGCTCCCCCAAACCAGCCCCCCACCACTCATCTTGGACTTCCAATCTTGGTTTCAGTGCCACCTCCTCAGGGAACCCCTTTGGGATTTCTTCCCCCCCATTTGCTCTCTTAGACCCAATTTTTCTTTCTTCCTCCCAGTTCGTATGGTGTATGTTTTTGTGTGATTATTTGACTCATGTCTGTCTTCCCAATTAGCATAAAAATTCCATGCAAGTAGAAACTTCACTGCATGCCTGACATTCTCCTTGGTGTCTAGTGTAGTGCTTGATACCCGAAGGGCCACTCCATAAATACTTAATGGAGTGAAAAAAATCTCTGTTAATCCCGTCTACAAACACTGGACTGACTCCGTTCAAATCCCTTGTGAAAATGCACATAGGAGGGTAAAGTGAAGACACTCTTGTTTTCTCCTATGTGGTATATAGAATCCTGGAGCCAGGATTTGGGGATCTGGGGAGCCTACCAGAGCAGCCTGTCAGACTCAGAGGAGGAGGGGGCTCTCAAGATGTAGGGCAGCATGGAAGCAGCAGCTTCGGCCCTGATCAAGTTTTTCCAACCACCACCTGCTTCCACCTTCCTTGGCTGACCGGTGGGTGCTTACGTAGACATGGGAATGGAGAGACTAACTTAGGGAGATCTGGGGAGTTACTGCACTCCAGGAAACCTTCGCCACCTCTCTCCCCAGCAGTCAGCCTTGGGTGGGGACCTTTGTCTGACTCCACGGTGTAGGGGACAAGATGTGGTCAATGACATCACCAAAGATTCTGCTAGCTAAACAGTCTTTGCATTAATTTATGTTTCTTGGGACATCTGGGGCTGTCTCTGCTGGGAAGGAAGGGTCTTGGAGCTATACTACGGTTACCACGGATCACTTAATAGAAGCACGTTTGGATTCACACAGCCCTATGGTAGGGTTCTGGTTCCCTCGCTTCCCAGCTGCTTGAGTTTGGGCAGGTTACACAACGTCTCTGTGCTTCAGTTCTCTGAACTGTAAAGTTGGAATAATAATCCTTACCCTGTAGGATTTGTGGGGATCAGAGTAACTGGCAATATTGATACATTTCCTGCCTACACAGGAGTGCTCAAAAGTGACACCCTTATGAGACGGCATGAAAGAGCTGCCGTGGAGAGGTGCAAAGTTCTGTGTTAGTGGGGAGAGCAGGAATGCCCTTCCCGATTAGGTGATATTCGAGCCAAGTCTTGAACGCTAACTACAACAATAAAAAAGTGATGGCAGCCACCATGTACGTTACATGCTGAGTTCTGTGCTCAGTGCTTCGTGTTCATTTTGGCTCATCCAGAGCTCCCCACAGTCCTGAAAGGCATAACCTGGTGCCATCTGCATTTTGCAGATAAAGCTCAGAGAGGTTAAGTGACTTTCCTAAGGCGAGCCAGCTCATGGGTGAAGCCGGGATCAACACTTGGTTCTGTTTGACTGCAGTAAGCCATTCTCTTACCAACTAAACTACTCAGCTGCTCTTGAAGGTTTGCGTTTTCCAAGAGAAGTGGAAAGAAAAGGGATTGATGGAACTTGTCCCAAAAGAGAAAGCTTCAAGATCTCCTATTTGCTTATGTATTGGTATTAGTTCTGTCTTCGCCCTACAGCCAGTTGATAGGTTTATCCATCATTGTTTCCTGGCTGGTGCCAGGACATAGTCAGTGCTCAATAAATCTGTGTTGAGTGAATGAAGAACGTAATGGGCTCAACATTCTCCCCAGCCTGTGTTACACATAGCAGCACAGGCAGATGAACAAGTGTGTTTGCCCAGATTACCTTACTGCTTATGCTACTGCCATAAAACAGAAGGTATCACCGAAGCTGGACAGTTTTGCCATTGGCCGCATGGAACATTGTGCTCTAAGCAGCAAACATTTTCCAGTCCAAATGATGAGGCGATCTGAGGGCACTCCGTCTGCCTTATCTCCTTCCACGCCGTCACCCCTTTCGGCGTCCGACGTGTTTGAATTCTCTTTATGGGCCTGCAATTCGTTTCTGGCAACACTCAGGTTACAGGAGGGGAGGTGAGCAGGTCACATCAAGGCAGACAAGCCTGGACTTGGCACTTAGCATCTCAGACAAGGTGTTTCCTTGAGGTTGATATTACAAACGAAGCTGTGACCCGCGGTGTCAAGCAGTTGGCGTGTGGGAGCGAGAGGAAGAAGGAAAAAAGCGTGATACCGGGAGCAGCTTCTTCCCGGTGCATGTCTGAATAATGCCAATAAGCTGTCAAATAAAATTAAGGTTCAAAACATACAGGCTTCAGTTTGATTTCACCAACATGCTGGCTGCCGCTTAGAGAGGGAACAGGTCGGTGCTGTTTTGACGGGTCTTGGTGCTAAGCGCTGAAAGTCTCCTCTCCAGGCCGAATTAATAGCAGTTCACCTTAATTTGCAACTTAAGTAGAACGATATCTGAGGTTGAAATGAAGCCCTTCATTTCCTCTCCTGCTCACCCTCCTTGTGTTGACTTTCCTGTCCGTCCTCCTTCCTTCTGGCTCTCCCGCATCATCTCCCTGTCTCCTCACCCTTTCTCCTGGCACCTTCTAAAAGTTTCTCCCTGTTCTTGTCTGTCTCCTGTACTTCAGAGAAAAAGCGTGGAGTCCCTACTACGTGCCGGGCTCTGCGCTGCCTGCTCGTCACAGACGGTCTTGCTTAATTGCCACAACATCCTTGTACAGTAGGTGGAGTTGTGCTATTTATAGGTGACACACAGAGGTTCACAATGACTCAGAGCTTAACTAGGGTTGTGCAGCTGGTACATGGCAGAGGTGGGAATCCAAGCCTAGATTTCTCTGATGCTAAAGGTCCATGCTGTTCTACCACCGCCAGTGGTCCCGAAATCTGCCCGAACCTTGGAATCTCCTGGGGAGATCTAGCAATCTCAGTGCTTGGGTACCACCGCCATATTAATTAGCCTGGGAGAGGCGGGCCTGGGGGCCGTCCAGAATTCTTCTTCTCCTTTATGTCTGTTTTTCTTAGCATCTACACCAAAGTGTATGTTGAAGTATGTAGCAGAAAAGCCCTCAGGATGGGTAGGGTTCTTGTCCCAGACCTCTTATGGGGAAGGACTTGCCTTTCTAGAAGGGGCTGCAAGAAATCACAGGTGTGCCTTTGCCTTCCTGATGCAGGTGGGCAAGTGGGAGAACCAGAGCCTGAGCCTCAGGCACGCCGTGTGGCCGAGGTACAAGTCCTTCTCAGACTGCGAGCCGGACGACAATCATCTGAGCATCGTCACCCTGGAGGAGGCCCCCTTTGTCATCGTGGAAGACATTGACCCGCTGACCGAGACGTGCGTGAGGAACACTGTGCCGTGTCGGAAGTTCGTCAAAATCAAGTGAGTCCGGGGATGCTGTCGGTTGGATGTGCCCAGTCCTTTAACACAGCCTGTATCATCGACAACAGTGGTATCTGTAATATAGTAGTAAAATTTAATACACAATAGCTTATTATAATAGTACATCACAACTTGTGATACTAGATTTTTTAAAGACTTCAGTAAATAGCTGGACTTACGCCAGCTGGTCTGCATTCACTTACTTCTGGCAACGGCAATTGCAGGTAGGTGGTATTACCCGTCTTAGAGATTTAAACTGAGTTATGGGCAGATTAAGAAACATGTTCAGGGCCATCCAGCTAGTAAATGGAGGACCTAGGACCCAGACGCCGTCCACCTGCTTCACTGCCAGTCCTTAACCTCTCTGCCAAACTGATCCTCCCCTTTGGTCTTTCCTTAAAAAAAAAATTTTCATGTTTATTTATTTTTGAGAGAGAGACAGAGACAGAGTGCGAGCAGAGGAGGAGCGGAGAGAGGGAGACACAGAAGCCAAAGCAGGCTCCAGGCTCCGAGCTGTCAGCACAGAGCCCGAGGTGGGGCTTGAACCCGTGAGCCGCAAGATCATGACCTGAGCCGAAGTGGGAAGCTTAACCGACCCAGCCACCCAGGCGCCCCCCAAAAATTATGTTTTAATTTTTCTGGGTGCTCCCTCCTCCAGCCCTGCACTTCTGCTTCCTTCCATCTCTTGTATATATCCCAGACACAAACTTTTCAAAAACTTTGAAAACTTCTCTCTGTGTGGAGGTCATGATACAGCTGTACCCCTCACATATGACCTTATGATGTGATCAGCGTGGAACTGACCTTCTGGAAGTTTCCCAGCTCACCGACAGCAAGCCCACATCACCTCTGGGCCGTTTCCTCATTTATTAACAATCAAAGGAAGAACTGACCATTTTTATGAGAGCTTCTGGTTAAGTTTCTCCCTAATATGTAGGCCCTTTGGTGAAGCATAAAGCTTCATGACCAGGTCTAAGGCCCTGGTTATAGTTTTCTGGTGCAAACACAGACACGGCCCTTGTGGGGGATTTCACCAAAAGGAAAAGACCTACCATTGGAATATTTCTGTGAGTATTTTCTGAGTGTGTCCTTTCATCTGGATAATTCTCCTGTGTCTTTTAAGTCTCAACCACTCCCTCCCCAAGTTGGGTTTGTTCCCCCTCCTTCCAAAGAAACCTGGAGTGTCTCTGTACCTTGGTCTGTTCAGGGCACTGTGACAAGTCACCACAGACTGCATGGCTTAAACACAGACACTTCTCATAATTCTGGAGGCTGGAGTCCACCGTCAAGGTGTCCAACCAGGGGCCTCTGGTTTGAGACTGCCATCCTCTCACGGTAGCATCACATGGTGGAGAACGGACAGAAGAGAAGCAGGGTCTCCTGCGTCTGTTTCCAAGGACGCTAATCCCGTTCATGAGGCCCTCACCCTCTGACCTAATGACCTCCCAAAGGCCCCACCTCCTGACCCCATCACATTGGAGTTGAGAGTTTCAACACATGAATTTGAAGGAACTCAAACATGGAGTCCCTACCACTCGATCTCTTTATCACCCGATTTTATGGCTTATACCCTCCCTGGAGGGTAAGCTGCCTACATACAGGAAACATGGCTTCTGAGTCTTTGTACAGCCAGGGACCCACAAAACATAACACGGTAATGTTGATAATGATTGAACAGATGAGCACCTGGATACTTTTTGTCCCACTTTGCAGATTCTGACCGAAGCCTTCATTACACAAGGTGCAAATCCCCAGAGCTCAGCGCTTGGGACAAAGAGGTTTTTTTTTTGAATATGATTGTTAAATGTATTATGAAGGCAGATTCTGGTTTAGAGGGAAAAAAAATTATTTTTTATCAACGAGAAGCTTCTTTGGAGTTAAAATTCTGAATAGATTAGTCAATAAATAAATATACTTGAAGCACAGTTCGTGTGTGAGGCATAGAGCTGTGCTGAGCTGGGACGACAAAGGACGGGATCTTAGGGTATAGCATGTACACAGCTCAAAAACAACTCAGCCCGGAAAGGAAGGACAGATTCGTGTTACGATACGCCTGGTGAAGGATATAAATAAGGCGGTGTGATAAGAGACTAACTTGAGGTGAGATGCAAGATGACCCAGAAAAGGATGACGAACGTGTGAAAAGCTGGGGGGCTGGTGGGGAGGAGCCTTCCAGGTACAGGGAACAGCAGCTGCAAAGTCCCCAAGGGAGGAGAGAGATTAGCAAGTTTGGGCAACAGAAGGAAGCCCAGTGCAGGGCTAGAGAGTGATGAGCTGGCAGGGGGTCAGGGGGGAGATGGAAGGAGTAAATGTGGGAACGTTGTCCCAGGAGATTTTGATTTGGACGGGTGTTCCTGGAGTACAACGTGGTCCGATGGAGAAGGCCGAGTGTTGGGTGTGAGGCCAAGACTGTAACCTCAGTAGGGCACCCCCTTTATGACAGCAATGCCTGCTTTGTCTCAGTAGGGCCAATCCAGTAGGGCCTCTTGGGATCCACAGTCACTAACAGGAGCTTCAAATCTTTAAAATCAGAAGCCTTGGAGTTGACGACGGTAGGTCACCGAGTCCTGAGCCACATTCGTATGGAGAAAATGAACCCCCCAATAAATTACTCTCTTTAATAGAACTGACTTTTTTTTTTTTTACTGGACAATATAAACAGATTAACAGGTTCAAATTCACCTTTTTGGTTCCTGTGGGAGGTGGCAGCTTGCGGCTTCCCTTTTCCCGCTTGGCGTCAGGACAAGTTTACTGAACGTCGAGGTGAAATCGAAGTGTCTGAAAGCCATAGACAATTACTGGGACCCGTTCGTCCCAACATTAACACATAGCAGATCAATTGCCTTTCCTAAAGGTAATATCTCTGAGGCAGGCCGGTTGGTTCTAAGAAGGATTCTGTGAGGTAACATGATTATATTTTTTCTGGGTGATAATCTCCCAGGGTAAAGCGTTTGTCTCTCACTTCTGGCAAATGGTGGGGTCTTGAGGACACAAATCAATCTTCTAAAAACATAGGTGACAGGAAATGAGCTGAGAAACCAAGCGTTTCTTTTCATCTGTTAGTTGGGTGTTAGGGCATAAAGAGAGAATTGAGGAAAAATTAGCTGGCTTGATATTTCGGGGAAAAACGGCCATACTGCCAGTGAATCCCCCAAACTGCCAAATTGTTGGTAAGAAGAGAGGATATGTATTCTTAAGCACTTACCTGAGAGGCGCTTTGCATATTTGTTTTCATCTTCCCAACTATCCCACAAGGTAAGCCCTCACCTTTTCACTTTACAAGTAAACTGAGGCTTACGAGTGAGGAGACTTATCTGCATCTTCCTGGTTGTTAGGGGCAGACCTAGGACCTGAAAAATGGCTCCGTCTGACTTGCATGGCCGTGATCCTGTCCACTCGCCACACTGGGAAACTGCAGAACTGGAGAGCTGGCTCACTTATTGGATCCCTTTCCCCACATTGGCTTCTATGGGTCATCCTTTCTTTTGGATGAGGGTGGGGAGCGGGGAAAGATTGCATTGGGCACATTTTTTAGATGGCTGTGTAGTTAAGTCACGCCCCCCCACCCCACGCACGTATACAAGGGCTGTGATGGGAACCAATTGAAAATTTCTACTTACAAGCGGGTCTGTGTTTCCAGAATCCCCATGATAAATTCATCTGTTGCATTCGCTGCATGTGTCTTTTTCACCCTGTGTCCTTAGGGTTTAGTTTAATTCCATGTCTTATACACAGTAGGTACTCAGTGGGTGCTTGTTGGGTGAAAATGCATTAATGACCTTGGGTATCTATAAATATACCTAGTATTAGGAGACATAGGGGAGATAATTAACTCATTAACTGGCCGAGGTTTCCAGCAATGCCAAAGAATACCACCGTATGCCTGTGACCCTGAATCTTAAGCCTGGGGCATTCATAACTCCTGTCCAGACTCTCCCAGGAATCCTGACCAGGGGAAAGAAGACCCTATGATAGACGAAGAGAGGGGGAAGAGAGAGAAGGAGACGCAGGTGGGAAGAGGGAGAGAAGCATTGATGCATGGCCCATGGTGGCCAGGAAGAAAAAGAGAGAATTGGATCTGACCATGTTTTTCAAAGAGCCACAGATCAGTACCCAGCAGGAAATCGTTATTTGGACATGCCATTGATTTAATGTACCTGGGACACATTTCTATCATGTTTATGGCATTTTGCAACCTGCTTCCATTACTCAAAGTCACATTGTCAAAAGAACCCATGTTCATGGACAAAGATATACATCAATGGTGCTTGATGTATGTGTATATCTGATTATATATGTAGTATATACTCACTGCAGTTGTTCTGGGGGGGGAGGACTAAAAATATGAAAAAGAGAAAAAGTTATTTCTCGCCATTCAAAAATAGCTTTGCTTCATATTTCATTGTTTTTCCATCCAGATATGGTTTATAAGCTCATCTGTTTTGATATAGCCAGGACTGTTCTGTATACATCACTGTGTAACCTACTTTTTTTTCTATGATATGGAAATGGAAGTGATTTCCTCTTGTGATGTTGGATTTCCACAAACATCACTGTGGTGCTTAGGTAACAGTCTGTTGTGTAGATGAGCCAGCAACAGAATATTCAGACAGAGCACGTATCTCGTGACATGCATAAGTCAGAGAGCTGAGCCAATGGGATGCCCCATCACAAGGTAGCCCAAGTGTATTGCCCAGAGAGCTGTCCATTGTCCTACACGAGCTGTCTAACTGGGAAAACCCTGTTTCCTTCCTTTTTTAAGGCATTTCTGATTTGTATGGGTGTCCTTTGAATATGACTCGGCCAGGTTAATAAAGCAAGGTGGCTGGTGCAAAGCAACATATGTCACCTTGGTAGTTGATGATAGCTTTTAAGAAAGCAGTACCCTGTGTATTTTAACAGGGCTTTTTCCTGATCAAGGACACTGCTATTTAGTATGTCACCTTTTACACTCCTGCTATGTAGGGAGGGAGGGAAAATGAAATGAACGAGCCCTTATTTGACAGATGACTCTATCAAGACACATTAAGTCCGTGGACTCAGGCACAAGGTGGACCCCAAGTCTTCTGATTCTCAGCCAAGTTTTCCTCAGTAAGGAAAGTGCCCTTCCTACTACGTAAGGCAACCATTATTTCTTCTCTTTGGTTGCAAACCTCTATCTGCAGTGGTAGGATAAAGCAAAACTCTCCTCCCACTGAGAGTTTTATGTCTTCCTTCCTTCTTCTCTTTTCCTGTAAGCGTTTATAGTGTGGCTTAGATCATGTTACTGAACTCTGGTCAAAAGAGGTTGTATGTGTTATAAACTTAAGAATAAGTCAGTTAAGTGTCTGACTTCAGCTCAGGTCATGATCTCACAGGGTGTGAGTGTGAGCCCCGTGTCAGGCTCTGTGCTAAGAGCTCAGAGCCTGGAGCCTGCTTCGGATTCTGTGTCTCCCTCTATGCCTCTCTGTCCTTTCCCTGCTCACGCTATGTTTTTCTCTCTCTCTCTCTGTCTCTCTCTCTCTCTCTCCCTCCCTCCCCCTTTCTATCTCTCTCAAAATTAAGCATTAAAAATTTTAAAAAAAGAATAAGAGGCAGTAACTCTTATCAGTGTAATGGGGGAGACAAATACTACCTAAGAGAAATGTCATGAAGGGTAATCCAACAATTAGTAGAAAGCATGGTACATGGTACAAATAATAATCACTCAATAAAAGTTAGCCATTGTCATGGTTACGCTCATCCTTAAGAACACCTTCTACCTGTGCTGTTGTAAACTACTGCATGTCCTTGGAAAAGCCACGTTCTCATTTTTGAGCCTCTATTTCCCACATGGATCTAGTGGAAGCGTATAGGTAATGACTGCCAACAAATCTTCCGGCGCTAATATTCTACGGTCTCACGGTGTTTTCCTACAGCAATTCAACTAACGAGGGGATGAATGTTAAAAAGTGCTGCAAGGGGTTCTGCATCGATATCCTGAAGAAGCTCTCCCGTACCGTGAAGTTCACCTATGACCTCTACCTGGTGACCAACGGGAAGCACGGCAAGAAAGTTAACAACGTGTGGAATGGAATGATCGGTGAGGTAAGTGGTCTTCCTCCCCCTAGGGCTGTCATCCAGACTGGGGCCCGCAGTGCTCAGGGGCAGTGGGAAGGAGGAATAAAGGCGCTGTGCTCCTTTGCCTTGTGTGCAGGTGGTCTATCAACGGGCGGTCATGGCGGTCGGCTCGCTCACCATCAATGAGGAGCGTTCTGAGGTGGTGGACTTCTCTGTGCCCTTCGTGGAGACGGGGATCAGCGTCATGGTTTCAAGAAGCAACGGCACGGTCTCACCTTCTGCTTTTCTAGGTATGTGAACGCCATGGTCGCTGCCATTTACCTATGAGGAATTATAGGTATTTGTCTTGTTGGCTCAAAGGATGGAACCAAGGAGGACCTTGCTCACTTCCATTTAACAACATCAGTGCATTCCAGAGTGTGTCGTATTTGGTGTGTTTCTTTTTCTTAGGTTTATTTTTGAGAAGGAGAGACAGAGACAGAGCGTGAATGTAGGAGGGGCAGAGAGAGGGAGACAGAGAACCTGAAGCAGGGCTCCAGGCTCTGAGCTGTTAGCCCAGAGCCTGACGCGGGGCGTGAAGCCACGAACTGTGAGATCATGACCTGAGCTGAAGTCAGACTCTCAACCAGCTGAGCCACCCAGGCACCCCCAAAGTGTGTCATATTTGAATGATCCCAATTCACATCCCCCCTGTCACCCCATTAACATCTTTCATTTATCTCTAACTTGGAACTATTGGCTGAAAATACAAGCATGTATTCAGATACTGGTCTTGATTGTGTGCAATGTAGATTAGTAGATATATGTCTTAGAGCCTTGAAAACATTTAAAAAATAAATCTTCTGTCCGTAGTTCATTTAAATCAGCCCATACGCCTTTATATGGTATCCTCATTCCCATCTTCCACCCCTCGCTGATGTGACAGCCATTTATTTACTGGCTGTAAAGGTGAAACAATGATGAACGTGCCGTGATTTATACCAGCACTCTGATAAACCAAATAGAGGTAGCCGAAAGAGCATACACTGATTGAAAATTAATGGAATCGTATTTTAAATGTGACTGTCCTTCAAGCTGAATGGTTTGGAAGGGAGGAAATTCCTTACTCTTAACTATTCCATAAATGTATGTTTTGACATAAGTTTTGTTTTGTTTTGTTTTGCTTTTTTGTCATTTGTGTTTGTGTTTTTGTTTTGGTCTGTTTTAGAGCAAGGTAGATCTCTATTTTCTATCTTGTTTTCCTTAGCAGTGTCAGTATTTATGCATTAAGTAGCCTGACTACAGGTGTAGAAACTGCATGAGACATACCCAAGTGTTATTTTTTTTTTTCTTTAAAAGATGGTATTGTGTGGAGTGTTTGGTTACCATCAGTGGTTTTTGACAGTAGCTATCTTGAAGATGGTGGGATTTAAATTCCCTTTTCCTTGGCACCCCCATCAGTGGGTTTGTCCCAGATTTGGGAAGGTGAAATTGAACATTGACCCCAAAAGCATTTTTCCAGACACACACACACACACACACACACACACACACACACACACACACCCTTGTCTGGTAGAGAGCTAAAACTTGCAGACGAGAGCCAGTCTGTGGACATTAGCTCCAAGCCCATAGTCTTACTTGTCCACCATCTTCTTTTATATGTCATGGCGCATCCGGTGAAACCGTCTGTGTTTCATTCCCTTCAGTGGAACATTGGCTAACAGGATTTTGGGTGCCGCCTCACTCACAGAGACCTATGGATTTGCCATTTTCGTTTCTGATAATCCATTTAAGCTGTTGAAATCCTTACCACTCCCTGGATTTGACTCCTTGCTTCCATTCTCCTACCTTTGTTGGAGTAACATGGACCTTGACACACACACACCTCATTATGTTCCTTTTGTGCCTTTGTCTGATATGGATAATGGACCCATATCTTAACAACAGAGCTTCACTACACCAGGAGAAATGCAGCCGCCCAATAGAGACGACACGGGCAGAATCTTAACGATGATTGGGAGACCCTCATGCACAAGCCACTGCTTATCACCATCTCCCATTACCTGGCAGACTCTGTAACAGAGCTCTTTGGCCCTGGGGGTTAAGAAAAGGTTGGAGGAAGTGAGTTCATGGAAAGAATGGAAAGACATGTGTTTCGTTTCACAAGTTGTTGACATACCTCCATAGTGAGAGAACATTTTTTCCAATTCAATCAGAGAAGAAAAAAATGCCAACAACTGGCTTGTCTCATAAAAAAAAAAAAATGGGTTGCTGATATCAAATCTGGCCTCAACCCAGTTTCACCTAGATTTTTATCTTACCTGCATTAGTTGCACATTTCCATAAAAAGTCAAGCATTTTTGCTAAGTTTAGCCAAGCCTCCTTACCTGCCCCCCCCCTTATTCTTCCTCCTGTATCTTTAAAAATAAAGTAAAATAAATTGCAGCCAGAGGAAACTATTTTCAAAGCAGTTTTTACACAGTAGGCTTAATATGTTTTCTAGTCACTAAATTACATCCCTGTTCGATTCACTGTGCACCCCCTTATTTACGGCCATTATCTGCAGGTTTTGAAAGTCATAATGAGCCATGCTAAGCTACATTTTTCCATTCACTGGCTCAGTCTTCTGGAAGAGCCCAAACATTCAAAATCTGATTGCGCTGCTCTTCATTACTTCCTGTCCTCTCTCCGCTAACTCCATTAACTCACGTCGGAAACGCTTGCAGGTAAAGCCTCCCAGGCTTTGTGTGCAAACGTAACCAGCCACTCTTCAAGGACAGAGGTGGCGTCTGGTGCAGTATTTTCATTCATTTACTTCCAAAGACTTTCCAAGCAGGTTGGATTGTTTGAGCCAAAGAAATGCTGATCTGGAGCCTCCTAGATGGAAGCCCCTTCATGGACAAATGTTGAATCTGTTTTAAGCCAGTCGAGGATGTAATCCAGAGCTATCCCAAATGCTTCTGGGTCATTCCTTAGACACTATAGATGGTGCTTCACCATTATTCCAGTGCTTTTCTATGTTGTGGTGGTGGCGGTGGTGTGTTAACAGCAATCCTTAAGGGCACTTCATAGGCACCTAACTTATCAAAACCAGAACACTGGGGGCGCCTAGGTGGCTCAGTCGGTTAAGCAGCCTACTTCAGCTCAGGTCATGACCTCGCGGTTTGTGGGTTCAAGCCCCACATCGGGCTCTGTGCTGACAGCTCAGAGCCTGGAGCCTGCTTCTGCTTCTGTATCTCCCTCGCTATCTGTCCCTCCCCTGCTCATGCTCTGTCTCTCTCCATCTCAAAAATAAACAAACATTAAAAAAAATTTTTTTTTAATAAACATTAAAAAAAACTTTTTTAAAACCAGAACACTAGAGCAGGATCCTTTTATCTCTCTGCCATGCTCACGAGCCAAGGGGCAGGTGTCGCTTCCAAGTGGGGAAACGTCTGGGATCAGTTGCTTGATCAGGCCTCCACCTTACTTTTGGAACAGTTAGTGTCAGCATTAGGATGCATCAACTGCCAAATGAAGCCATGTGCGTGAAGTATTCAGTGAGGATGGCCCCTAATGTGTTGTATCATGTTACTGCCACCTGCACTGGCAGTGAAGTTATCCGATGAATAAATGTGCATGTTTGAAACCAGGACACCTTTTTCAGGACCACGAACAGCACACCGCTACCGCCATTGCCACTGCTGTTTCTGGCTTTACCCGCGGAATCAAATAGTGCTTCCACTGGATGTACTGTGTGTGTGTGCACAGCAAACTTCACACACCATCAACTGCTTTCCATGATTGTGCTCTTTTACTCATCATGGTGACCCTCCTCCCGTCAGATGCACCATGCCATTAACATACCCAGCTTGGAGAATTAGTTCACCATTTCTCTTCTTGAATATTGAGTGCGTTTAATCTCCTAATTATTTCTTTATTTCTTCTCCCTTTTGGGCGCACCTCAATACCCAACTGCAATGATTTCAGGGATATAATATTGTTATTACCCAAGCTAATTTCAACTAAGATATATCATGGTTGCAACCTCATTGATTTCTTCCAACTCACCATGTGTTATTTAACCTAAGTAGCCTGTGCTGGTACCTGATCTTTTTTAACATATCTGCACCATGGAAACTGCATTGCAAAGCATTCCTGCCAGTTTTTAAATTATCCAATGTAGTTAAAGCTTCGGACGTATTAGTTTCTTGTTATATAGTAAGCTCATTAAACTGGAATTTATGATGACCCCTAGCTGTGTTAGGTAGTCACAGGCTTTAGTGATAGGGTGGCTTGCTACCAGCCTAGTTCTTTATGATTACTACCAGCTTCATCAGAAAAACAATTTAAAAATAATAAAATGCCTACTATTCAGGGTGTTATTGGGCTTCTTATATTTTACCCTCAGAAAATGTTTGCTTGTGATGAAAAGGATTATAACTTTATTGGTACCCAAGGGCAGTTTCTTCCCAATGATGCATTCAGGTGGAGATATGTTCATTTTCCAAAATTTTTGTCTGTGTTGATTTTCTAGCAAATCTGTGACCTGTGTGAATACAATGGCTCCATTCAGCCCATTTTCATATCCTCAATCAGACTGAATATAAGCGTTAATTTATTTTACATAAAATCTCTTAACTTTCTAGAGCATTCTAAGATTTAGAACCTTGTGACTTGGCCTGGCCTTCTGAGACATCCATATGAAAATGAGCTGATGTAAACTACTTTTAGGGGAAATTACCATCTCTCCAAATACTCCTTCATTGTCTCTCTTCTTTGAGCAATGCTTTTTTCACCCAATTACCATGCGAATATGATATCCTCAGTTGACTTTTCAAATGCATTCAAGCCCATTTACAGCATCAACAAGATTTTAAAACTGTAGAGATCTCATCTGTCTGGAGCAGACGGCAGAGAGGAGAGTGTGGTAGTCCGAGCAGTGGTGGCAGACGTTGACCTTCCAATATTGATTGCTGTCAGCCCCCTGATTTTACACTCCTTTTCTACCAGGTTATAGTGTGCCCTTTCCTTCTTGCATTCCCCACACATCGTCCCTCCAGCATGTAAGAATCCGAGTGAAAATAAGAATAAAACCCATGCTGGTCAGCAGAAGGCTTAGAATTGACTCTTTGGGCCGGGTCTTGCTTCCCCATAGCATTGGTCCCCAGGATGATGCTATAATCATATCAGACCCGACGGACTCTCTATTTGCTTTCTTTTTCCCATTTGTTTTTACTTTCCTTGACCCGATTCGGACGGTGTCCTATGCTCTTCTCTATTTTTACCCTGTTATGTACAGTCTTGTAAAATGCCTCACATGTTCTGCAGCATGAAGAATGGTGGAGACGTATGAACCGACAGGGATTCATAGCTTCTTTTGAATGATCAGATGCTCATGAGGGAGGGGTGAGCCTGCCAACAGACCTCTGGGCTTCCCGCTGGCCCTGGTTGTGAGGATCCGCAAACTGACCGTGTTCCACTCCTCTGGCCTGTTCATCCGCAGAACCGTTCAGCGCCTCCGTGTGGGTGATGATGTTTGTGATGCTGCTTATCGTGTCCGCCATAGCTGTTTTCGTCTTTGAGTACTTCAGTCCCGTTGGATACAACAGGAGCTTAGCCAAAGGGAAAGGTGAGACCTCCCTCACACTGACCCTGTTTCATTGACTTTCGACAAAGATTTCAGGTGGAGAGCACATCCTCCTGTGTGGGCTTGCTCTTGGGTTCCATGAACGGTGCCAGGTCACCGATGCTACTGGTAACCCTGTACACTTTGCAGGTGATTCACTTCAACTAAAGAGGGGATCAAACAAAACGGAACACTTTTAATCGTGTTATCCTGTGGCAGTCTGTCACCGTTAGGTGGAAACCACTGGCGATTTGTTGAGAAAGCAGATTCGAAAAAGTTTTTCTGGCAATTAACATTTAAAATCTGTGTCAGAAGAAATGTTCAGGTTGTTTTGAGTCTCGACTTCAGTCCGGGCAGAGGAAATGGCTTTTATAGATACTAGTTTAAGAACATTCTCCAGACTACTGAATCACACTTGAATTCATTTGACGGTAAAAATAGTTATAAAGTGGTATTTTCCCCCAAAGAATTACATTTTCCTCTTGATAGTGCCTGACCTTAGTGCATTGTACTTGGTAAAGCTGCCATCAGTAGATAGAAAATCGCAATGGGAGACATTCATTGGCTATAACTTATTAAGAGGCCCCTGTGCAAACCAATATTCATGTTAGAGACATAAACACATTACATCACTCTGAGTGACTCTTCCTCAGTGCACAGCACGTTCTAAGTGGATGGCCTCAGGAAGGCTGCTTGGACCAAATCCCTTTCCTGAAAAATGACTTAGGTTGGTGGAAGACAGTAGGCATACAGCCATTCAACATCAGGGTGCTTCAACTTGCCACATATTCTTCTCCAGAAGATTCACTATTGGAAACGGTCAGCAGGTCATGGGAATCTGCTAGGAACTTAGTTTTCTTGAAATCCTCCCACTTCTTAACCACTGAAGAGTGATGGTAACTACATGAACCATCTCCAGTCAAGCTAACATAGTGAAAATGCCATAAGTAATCATAAATTGTGTTTTAAATGGGAGAATCACCAGCCTCCACTAAAAGGGCAATGGAAGTAACCAGTACAGAGGTTCCAACAGAGTGGGGTCTGGGAGGGTTTTCTGGGAGTGATCGCACCAGAGTGGAGCCTGTAGTTACATTCGTAGAATCAAAGTTTGTGCTGTTTTGTGAATTCATGCATTTCTCTGACGAGTGTTTATTGAGGAGGTACTATGTCCCAGGCCCTGTGCTAGCACAGAGGGACAACATGATAATCTGGGTGGAGACTTCCTGATTTCCCCCCTCCCCCTGCCGGGGAGCTGAGAACTTACTTGTGAAGATAACACACGAACACGTAACATTAATAATCACAGATGGTAATAAGTGTCAAGGGGAGTAAAAGACAAAGTGAGGTGACGGGTGGGGGCACTGCTTTAGGTAAGGTGGCCAAGCAGGGAAGAACTTCCGGAAGACAGGACATTGGAGCTGAGGACCCGAAGGAGTGAGAAGTCATGTGAAAAATGGAGGGACAAGCATTTTGTGCAGATGGAACAGCAAATACAAAGAAAGACCTTGACGGTGAATCAATCTGGATGAAACAGAAAAGACGTGAGTGAGAGCGGTGGACAGTGATACAAGATGGCGGGAAAGGCGGGACGAAACATGTACAGCGTAGGAGGATCACGGGGCTGCTCTCTTGGGATAATGAGAAGGGCAGGCAGGAGTGGAAGGAAGGTGCTAGTTTTCTGAGAGAAAGGATTACAGTGGTTTGGACTTGGCTGGAGATTAGTGGATAAATCAGGTATATATCTTTCAAGACAAAAAAAAAACAATCCAGAGGCCGTCACATGCAACAACTCCTTCTCTGGCCAAAGCTCACACTTGGAAGACTATTGTAAAGCAAGGAATTGAGCAAGCAAACTCCCCAGTCCTTCCGTCGCCTCGAGGCTTTTTGTTTCCTGCTCATCTGCTTGTGGAAACTCCAGACATGACAGCTACAGGTTTCTTTGTGCAAAATGGCTTTCTGTTACATTTCCCGGCACGTTATGGGGAAGGTTTTATGTCCGGCTCAGTAATAGTATTCATGAATCAGAAGTTCACAAAAGTCTTGGGCAGAACCCCTGCAGCTGCCTATTTCTGATTCCCAAATAGCCATCACTTCTGGTCAGCCTCATTCCCTAATAAAATTAAGTAGTTCATGAAGTTAACTGGATTGACTCTAATTATTATTTTTTTTCCTAAGAGTTCTTGGCATCTTGGGAATAAGTCCAGAAGATTATAAAACTAGGCAAAGAGAAACAGAAGCGCTTGAGATTGAGAATAACAAAATTAATTGCCTTCCCTTTGATGTGCTGTATAGGGTTATTATAAATATTGCTGCAGCCTGGGTTTGGCCTCCAGTGTGCGGAAAGCTTGCTTCTCCCAGGCTCCCTGCCCAGAACTTCATACCACCCGTCAATGATTCACTTCTGCTACTTTATTTATTGCCCACTCTGCTGCTGTTGCCAACCGAAGTCTGAGTAGATCATTTTTTCATATCTTCATTTACTTAAATGACATAAAAATTAACCTTCTGTTAAAGGAAGTCCTTTTTCCCATGAAATGAAGGCATAAATTGATTTTTTTCCCCCTTGTGCAAAACAGACACGAAAGCCGAAAGGCTTGCATTTTACAGCCCGCAGATCCCACCCCCACCCCAATATATTGTGCCATGTTGTTCTGCCTCTTTTGTGAAGATTGCTACAAAGAACATTTAAGAATCTTAAAAGGGACACGTAGCTGTTGCGGGGATACACCGAGGAAGAAAAAGTGCTGTGATATCAGAGTTCATTTTCCGTGACCTGCAACCAAATGTCTTTCATCTGTGAAGTGGTGGGAGAATTCAGCTGTTACTCGGGTTCCTTGATGTCTCCAATTGCAGACAACTGAAAAGTTGGGTTTAATTCCTATATTGTGCACACTTTACGTCTGAGTTTGAACAGGAGCAGTTGCGAGGGACAATTGGATTAGACTGCCACACGTCAGTCCCACTGGACCGCATGGTTCTTACCGGTAGCACGGCCTGTGAGAACTGAAGCGACCCCACACATGCATTTCTGCAAGCCTTGCTAGGCTGATTAAGGAGATTGGCTCCCCCAGATGGAAATCGAATCCAAATTTAAAACCACATTTTGCAGAGCCATTTTCTTTTCCTTTCTCCCTTGGTTTTTTTTTTATTATTTATTTCAATTTATTTCGCCTTCTTTTAAGAAATGTGGCAAAAAAAAAAAATCCAGCTAGATAGAAATGTGGGGGAAATGCTCATTTTTCAAGATGCAGGGAGTGTGGTGGCTGTGGTTCTGGGACAATGAAGTACCACTGTGAGACGGTCCCGTCTTCTGGCACCCGGCAGGATTGCTGGCAGCCGCCGCATTGCCCTTTCGAGAAAGTTCTGAGAATGTCCTTCCTGTTATTCGCAGCACCCCATGGGCCTTCTTTCACGATTGGAAAAGCTATATGGCTCCTCTGGGGCCTGGTGTTCAACAACTCCGTGCCCGTCCAGAACCCCAAAGGTACCACCAGCAAGATCATGGTGTCCGTGTGGGCCTTCTTCGCTGTCATCTTCCTGGCCAGCTACACGGCCAACCTGGCCGCTTTCATGATCCAGGAGGAGTTTGTGGACCAAGTGACCGGCCTCAGTGACAAAAAGGTAAGGTCACCTTACTTCCCTCACTGCCCGAGGGGCTGATCTTAAATGCTCTCTTCTCAGAAGGGCCCATCCAAACCCATCAACTCTAAAGCACAAAGCCAGAGGGTTGGGTTGTTTTTTTTTTTTTTTCTTTTAACTTAAATTGGCATCTTTCTAAAAATTTTAGAAACAGAACCTGAGGCTTAGCCCTCCCAGATCTAAAAGATTCCGGGTCTAATTTGGAAGCACCGTTTCCCCAAACGGTCATCTGTCATATTTAGAGATCCAGCTCAGGCTGGAGTTCTCCCCGTAAGAGAGCGCGTGGTGTTGGAGGAGACCCACGAGGCTGGACAAGGAGAAACTTGGGTGGGGTGGAAGTGGGGTGCTCTGAGCCTGTAGCGACGTCCCCGTTCTCTGGCACTGGTTGAGTCTCTAACGTGCCCCACGCCTGGATTTCTCATCTCTGACACGAAAGAAAGTCGTCTCTAAGGCCTGCCCAGAGACAAACTAACAGCGCCTTTGTACCCGTGGAGCCGGCCAGCCCCACAGTCTGCATTCCTGACTCCCCTGAAATTTCCTCAAGGGCACAAAAGGAGCAGAGAGGCTTTTCATTCGCCACCGGCTCCTTTTTACTCAGACGCCTCTCCAGCCCTCCCTCTCGGGGCGGGGCCGTGCTTCCAATGTCACACCTGCTGTCTCCAGTCTCTGCTAGAATGTCACAAGGGAGGCGGGGTGGGAGTGGCTGTTCAGAAAGGCACCCAGAGGAAGAAAAGAGGTAAACCGGGTGCAGCCTTCCGTTGAAATTTTAGGTTCGGGAAGCAAATCCTGACTTGCTAAGCTCAGCAGTGTGGGGACTGCTGCCTCACAAAGATTTTCTGTCTCGCGTACGTGGATAATTGTCTCTCTTCATAAAATCTCACCAGCATGTCTTGCTGACTTAAGTCTACATGTATTTTGGCATTCGTCAACAAACCGCTGAATAGAAAATCAACCATGAAAGGCCCTAACAGCTTATCTGTGACATATGCCGTGGTTGAAAGAGGTAGAGAGAAGGCCTGTCATCAGAAAGATGATGAGTGGCAGGGGTGAGTGGTTGGCCTCTCTCTGAACGCTTCCCACTGTGGCGGGAGTAAATGCCACTCTACCATGGCGACAGAGCCCTCTATTTATCTGGTGCACCCCTCAAGTGTTCCCTCCCTCTTGCTCGCACAGCCCCCCTCCCTGTGCCCTCAGTACCGCAAGCAGATTTCCACCACAGTGCCCTTGCACTTGCTCGGCCCTCTGCCTTGAATGTTCTTCCCCATCATCCATGGCTGGCTCCTCCTTGACTTTCAGGTCTTTTAGGGAAAATGTCACCTCTTGGGAGGGGTGTTCCCAGCCACTGTGGCGAACTTGGCAGCTTGCGCTCATACTCCCACGATACTTCAGTTCTAGTAGAGAAAAATAAACAACACACGCATGAATGTAAATGGGGAACAAAATTCCAGGCAGGAACAAGATTATCAAGGAGCTAAAACCTGTGAGATTAACGTTGACATGGCTGGAGGGGCTATCAGGGGAATGCTTAGGAGAGAGTTCTCTGGCACTTAGCAGGTGCTCGGGATATGTTTGTTGGGTGACAAATGCATGCTGTGTAGGACACTGTAGGCATCTCACCTGGGTCTCCTGGGATCCGTCTTCCAGCTCCGTGTACCCATCCCACTTTTGCTGACAAAGGCTCATAAGGGGGATCTTCACAGGAGGATCACCTTGGGGCACTAGAACGGTAAACTTCTGGAAAGGTTAAGTTCCCCCAATCCCTTCGGTTACCTCTAAACAACAGCTAACCGGTGTGGGAGCACAAAACTCCAGCCGTTCCTTTGCTTCTGGGCAGGGCAAACTCAGAGGTGCGATTTACTCCATGCTTTCATAGTCACGGAACCTGGCTGTGCCTCCTCATTCCTCCCTGACGTTTAGGAGAAGAGATTGTAGCGAAAGAGGCAGACAGCAGTCGTGAATGTGCCTTGTAGTCCATGGAATCCCCCACGGCCACCGGCACCGGTACGTGCCTCCCGTCACATCAGGGGAACGAAAATACGGTTCCCCGAAGAGGCAGGTTGAGGTACAGCAGAAGCATCGGGAACCAGGATTTTTCAGGAAAGTAGTTCGCAGCCTATTTTGCTTTTTGTTGCTCTTTTCAAAGGCAAGGGTGAGAAAAAAAAAAATCCCTTGCTACGTAGTTTTGGGTCTAAATAACATGGCCGCTTGTGGGAGAACTAATTAGAACCACTAATAATTTGACTGACCTTCTCTGGCTTTGAGACACCTCGTAACAGATACCACATCCTCATGGGACCCAGCTCAGCTCCCAAGCTCAGAGCATTAGTGGCACGCAGATAGTTCGTTTAATTAAATGTTTGCTACAATTAGATAAACAGCAAAATTCTTGGAGTAAATAAGCTAAATGCTCCCAGAAGAGTAATAGCAGATACACCGAGAAAGTTTACAAAATAAAAAAATCTATATGGAATCAATTTATTTTAATACTGTACACACTCAGGGTTTTTTTTCCTTTTTTTTTTTTTTTTTAAATCATGATTACCTGTGTAACAACTCAGGTTTATGATGCTTTTAAAGCATTTTGCAGTCTTAGTGCTTACTGGGAAAAGCACCGTTGAAGCCCGTGGCGCACTCAGATGAGCTCGGGCTTCGGTTCTAAATAGGCAGATTCATAGGTAGATGTTCCCCTAGGAAATACTAAAGAAAAGTTGCAATGTCGATGGGGAAGCTTCCCAAAAAGGGTGGGGGAGCTCCAAGGTGAATGTAGTGGCGAGAGCAATGCCAGGTTTGGGGTCAAATGAACCTGCGTTCCAACCCTCGACCTTGCCATAAAATGGTTGTATGGCCTTCGGTATGTCAGTATCCCCAAGGCTTAATTACCTAATAGGAGTGGGGGCGCCTATTAATACCTTTCTGGCAAGGTTAATATGAGTATTAGCAATAATCCTCACACCGTGCCCGGCACTTGGTAGGTTGTCCTGTTAGAACTGCTAATTCCTCCTTCCAGCATCCTCCTCCTCCTCCTCCTCCTCCTCCTCCTCCTCCTCCTCCTCCTCAGCCTCGCTGCCTCATGAGCTGTTCCGCACCTCTGGGGGCTGGGAGCGTCGCTGCACCAGCTGGCCTCTTGTGACAATGGGGGGAATTCAGGAGCCTGCCTCGGTAGCGGAGCCCACGAATGTGTCCCCGTGGAGTTGTGCTGTCCCCGAGTGCTGCGGTTCTGTTGCTGGGTGGGCACCGGCTGCACAGAGGCCTCTGAGCCTCTCCTCCCTTCTAAGGGCCGCAGTCGGTTGATGCTGACCTCCAGAAGCTCGTGGGGCGTCACCAGCAGTTGCAGACCATACTTGAAATACAGCTCCACGTGCCAGTGACCCTTATCTGTAGTCACAGAAGACAGATATATTTTTAATTTTTTTTTTAGTCTTTATTTATTTTTGAGAGAGAGCGAGAGCTCAGTGCAGGGTGGGGAAGTGGGAGGGGCAGAGATGGTGGGGGGGAGGGAGATGGAGAATCAGAAGCAGGCTCCAGGCTCCCAGCTGTCAGCACAGAACCTGACGTGGGGCTCGAACCCACAAACTGCAAGAACATGACCTGAGCAGAAGTCAGACGCTCAACCAACTGAGCCACCCAGGCGCCCCTAGTTATTTTTAATAAATGTGTAGTTTGGATGTGTAAGAGGAATAAAGAAATGTCCTGGTCCATTGCCACCTTTGCCCTAAGCATTTTATTCCCCAGATCTGCATCTGTACTTGCTCTGTCCTGAAGGGCTTGCCTTGTCTTGCCCCCTTGGATGACTTCCAGACTTGTTCACATACTGGATGGGAGAAAAGTTTAGAATATAACCCTCCTAATCCTTTGTTCTCCAGATTAGAAGGAAACTGGCTCCATTATTTGGCTAAAGTCACTTTGGGTGACAGCAGGTGATGAGGCAATGTGTATCAAGCCACGTATTCTTTGAAGGACCAAATGATTAATTGCAAAATCGGTCCCCAGTTTACACATAGAGAAACTGAGGCTTGGAGAACTTAGGCAGCTGCCCCAAATGACTCAATTCCTAAGGGGCAGATGAGGAGCTGAACTGTCTAAGCCTAAGACCAAGTGAAGGCAATGAACTTGACCAGGGAGTATAGTCTTCAGAGAGAGAAGCCCCAGGGAGTTCCACTGACTCCCTCCACCCCCGGCATCGTGATTACATTGCTCTGTGGTCTTGCTGACCATGGATATCTCTGTACCACCCTTTCCTCTGCTACAGCCCACATCTGTTTCGTTCTCTTTGGACACAGAACTCTCTGGGAGAAAGTTGCACAAGAAATCATTTCTGAAAACTACACGGACGATGTCCTCAGTGGGAGGCCCCAGGATTTAAGAGATGACCCACACTTGCCTCTTGTGCCTACGGTCTATTTTTCACACTGTAGGTCCTAGCTTTTTAGTGAGCCCTGAAATTAATGTAAGGGTTGTGGCCATTAAAGAAATAGAACATCTCAGTGACATCAGAATAGATCACATGTAGAAAGAGTGCAGGGAAGTGGCACGTGTGTGTGTGTGTGTGGACAGGGTATACATGAAGAATGTCCTAGTCCATAGAGTGTGTTTTGAGAGTCATGCTGTAAAAAGTTTGACAGCCTTGGGGCACCTGGGTGGCTCAGTCAGTTAAGCATCCAACTTCAGCGCAGGTCATGATCTCACTGTTCGTGGGTTTGAGCCCCACGTCAGGCTCTGTGCTGACAGCTCAGAGCCTGGAGCCTGCTTCAGATTCTGTGTCTTCCTCTCTCTGCCCCTCCCCTGCTTGTTCTCTCTTTCTCTCTTTCTCTCTCTCTCTCAAAAGTAAATAAGCATAATGAACATAAAAAAAAATTTTTTTTTTAAGTTTGACATCCTTTACTCTAGTGGGAAAGGTTTTTGGATCTCGGTGCTGGGCTGAATTTTGTGGGGGTGATGGTACAGTTAAGGCCTGAGAAGTGTGGAAGTTCACCACTGAGGCTGAACATCTGCCTCTGTCACTGTGCAAACCCAAGGTAGGGACCAAAGCAAACCTGTAAAGAGCTACGTGGCCCCTCTGCTGCAGACGGGGAGTGAAGGGGACGACATCTGGTCAAGTGGACCATCTCCCATGCCTCTGGAGATCGGAAGCAGCTGACACAGCACCTGGATTTATACAGAGTACTTACCTGTGTCCCCAGAGCAGGCGGCTGCCGTGCCCACGAGCGGGGCTGGCGCCTCTTCCTCTTTTGGTGATGAATTGAGGCACTGCCCGCCAGAGGGAGTGCAAAGAGCATTTTGTTGTTCATGTGCGCGCACGCACACGCACACACACTCTACCAATGCAAGGCACCCAGCAGGAAGATCTCATTTGGCCAATGTATGGCCACGTCCCCCCAAATGCAGTGGTGGCTGCTTATTACACAGCGGCTTGCCTAACTCAGGGGACACGATTTTCAAGTGGAAATTTTAATTAACGGTGAAATGAAGTGTGAGTCTGGAAGGAAGAATGATGGTTGTGGTTGGTCTGGCTCGGGTGAACTTGGATGCCTTCTCCAGCAGTTCTTAGCTGCGTGTAAGACATGCTGACCTAGAAGCCTCAGATGCCTCTGGATCCTAGCCCCGGTGCCGCCATGGGTTTGCTGGGCGTCCTTCCCTTCTGTGGGTCGCACGGTCCTCCCTCTAAAAGAGGAGTGGTTACTAGCGACGGACTTTGTGGAAGGACAGAGTTCAGACTTTAACCTGAGGTCAGGCATAGGTGCGATGGAATTCTGGGCTGCTGCTTGCAAGCAGTGTGATCCTAAATAGGTCATGTAACCTCCCTCAGCCTCAGTTTCCCCATCTGTAAAATGGAGCCTCTAAGATTTGTTACCTGGCAGGTTCGTTGTGCAGATTAAATGCTCCAGCATCTGTAAAGTCCTTGGCACAATGCTGGCCCTAAGCAAGTCCTCAAAAAGTGCCAGTCATTATCATTACTGTATAGTTCCAGAATTTCCTATTTCATGGAAAAATGAAGCCCAAGTTACTTTTTTTTTTGTCCATGCTGATAATAAAATTGAAAAGTAATAATAACTATTTTTGAGTGCTCATTCTGTTGCAGGCACTATTTTAATTACTTGACAAATTTTAACAATTTTAGAATGCCCCACTAACCCCTACAAGAGGAGTACTGATCTGGAAAATAAATGGAGGCAGTATAAAGTGACTTATCTAGGGTCTCATAGTTCATAAATGATAGAACCTGATTTTTTAACTTTTGAACCTGAGCTCACACTTGTACCTATTGCCCTCTGCTGACTCTAGATTTTAATTCTGTTTCTGGGACTCAGACCTAGTACTCTTGACTCCTACTCTCGCTGGGCTGTCCCAGGCACTGCACTTATGAACACAATATCAGTCAATCAGGGAAGACAAGTGGAGCATGGACAGCCAACCTTAATGGGGGCTTGAGAGCCATTCAAGATATGGGCATCCCCAAGAAGCTAATGGTTCCAGCTCAAGAAACGTTCGTGGAGGCTGCCATTATGCCTGGAATATATTAGGCCCCCAATAAGTGGGCCATGCATGAATGATCGAGTGGGGAATGAGTAAATGGCAAACACAGAGTTACTGTAGGGGAGGAAACATAATTTTCCCTCTACCCTTGTACGTTCTTGGCTGAGACACCTCTGTAACAAAAGACAGATGAACAGGAGAAAAACAAACAAAAGTTTAATAGCATGGATACATTCTGTAGACGTGGGACATGCCCAGGAAAGCCAAGTAACTCTTTGCAATAGCCCAAGCCACCAACTTGACCACTGTCACCAGCTAAGGACAAAAGAGAGACACGGGGGGCGGGGGTGAGGAGTCCTGTTAGGGGAGCTTGTCAGGAAAAGCACAGTAAACAAGGATGAGGGCTGTTCTATAGACTTAAGTTGGTGCCTTCAACAATAAGAGTTTCTAGAGATGAGCCATCTTCCTTCTCTAGGTGCTGAGAGGCAGACACCCCTACCAATATCAGTGTGTCTCTTACAAAAGGGCTTTTACTCTTCAGACCTTGTCCTGTGTCTGCTGTTTGTAAAAACAACCAGCCGAAGAGAATCCTTAGGCCAAGGAGGCGTATCCTGGCGTGATACATTGAGTTGTTCATCATTGCCCAGGGGCGGTCATGGTAATTGTGAATGAGGTTCAGACAAGGGAGTGATTGGTGGGGAAAACAGAGAAATTTCATGAGAAGGTAGATAAAATGAACCGAGTTAAAGTAACACCTTCATTTCGGCACAGTTAGTGTTTCCTGAGCACGGCCCGTGTGCCCACCGCAAGGCCAGTCTATAATGGGGCCGAAAAAAGTTAATCCAACAAATGCCTGTCGCACACGCAGCCAGGCCCTGTGCTCGCCGCTGGGGGGAGAGTTGGGAACGAGACAGACACTGTTTCTGACCTCTCAGAGCTCACGGGCCAGTGGCAGGTGGGATTAAATAAAAAAGGAAACAGAAATGAATGGTTTTTCAGCTGTCCTGTGCTAGGGCGTGCATATGTTTAACTCCCGACACAAGACACAATGGTGGCTGACTTCTCCTCCTTCTTTCTTTGTCTCTGTCCTGTCTGTCTGTCTGTCTGTCTGTCTCTCCAGTTTCAGAGACCTCACGACTATTCCCCACCTTTCCGATTTGGCACGGTGCCTAACGGCAGTACCGAGAGAAACATTCGTAATAACTACCCCTACATGCATCAGTACATGACCAAATTCAATCAGAAGGGAGTGGAAGATGCCTTGGTCAGCTTGAAAACTGGGTAAGGATGATGGGGATTTGTTTTCTTCTCTGCAGGCCTGCCAGCCCATAAACCTCACAGAAAATGACTCTGCGTGCCTTGGTGCTTACCTGCCTTCGCAGCGGTGTTTTCTGGAAAGTGGCTGTGGTTCAGATGAACCCCACGTGAGGGCTCTTTTGGTTAATCTCATGAGCACCACAGGTTTCCTTCTGAGTCGTGTTAAGGAAACACAAATCCAGGACCCTTGAAAATGCAGAGAACCAGAGGGGTTTCTTCAACTGATAAAGAAGTTGGTGCAACCCTGTGGGATATTTCAGCCAGAGAGAAAGATCTAAAGGGTCTGTTAGCCTCTCGACAGTGCTGAAAACAGAGTGCTGCAGACTTTTATCTGATTTGGGGTAGGAGTTTTTGGCGAGTGGCCGTATGTAAAAGCTGATAGTGTAGCACTGACGAAGCAGAAAGGAAAGCTGGAGAGAAGAGCAGCGTCTCTAAAGGTGCAGCCGATGTCCCCGTCCACCTGTTGGCACTGCAGAGTGTAGCCTACTCGGAGGGAGGACCTGCTGAGAAAAGACCGCAGAGGCTAGGATCTTGGGAGGTGAAGCTGGAGTGTGCCTCTCCTCCCCCTGTTGATACCGTGTGTGGCTTGGGACAGACGCTGAGTTGTTCCCAGCCTCATATGTAAGATGGAAATCCTAACGGGACCTAATTCATAGGGGTTTTGTGAGGATTGAGGGAAGATGTGCCGGAAAGCATTTTGCACAGACACGACCCGACTGCCAGTGCTCTTATTTGGTGTAAAGGTTAAATTCTCTTCTGTGGCCTCTTCAAAATGCTGAGGATGTGCAAGATGCGTCTTGGGGGGTGTGAGACATGACTGTTGTGCATCATCCCGTAGTTTCGTCCACAGCCTCTTCCTTAGGGGCCCTGTCTAAACCCTCAAGCCCAACCTCCGCACGATTTCCAGGAGCTTTGGCCGGTCGCATTTTGTCCCTTCAGTCTCTTTGGAATCTCTTTGGTATCTCAGCAGGGGCTGGGACAACACGTCTTGAGAAGTCGAGGCCATGGCTTACCCCAGACTCGTTCACGTGCTGCGCATTCTAGCTCAGAGTGATTTTTAAAACATCTCATCGAGGCCGGACACAAATGCAGAGAAGATACACACATTAAGGACAGTGCTTGACAACTTTGTCCAAACTGACCATCCGTAGCCAATCCCTAGAAACCCTGCCACGCCCTTCCCCCCCCCATCCCGCCACCAGCCTCGCCACCGTAGACTCATTTGGCCTGTTATTCTAGCATCTCAGTAAGATCACACCGGACATCTTCTTTTCCACTCGCCTTCTTTCAGCCCAGCAGTCTGTTTGCGAGATCGCCGCGTGTCACTGCAGGTCTGTCATTGCCGTGGCGGTGTGGAAGTCCACTGTGGGGACATGCCACAGAGTCATCCTCGTCTGCTAGTCGTGAACGTTGGGGTGGCATCCCATTCGGGGATGTTTGGGGTAATGCTTCTAGGGGCATTCTCACACATGCCCTCGCTGCACAAGGGAGTACACCGCCCTTGATACATACTTAAGACAGGAATCGCCGAGCTGTAAAATGCATGTGTGTTTGATCTCGGTAGATACCAGAAAATTCTGATGACTTTCCAGTTGAGCCCCAGATATGGGTTTTGTATGTTTGTTTCTGCCATGGTCTTTTCTTCAACATACACTGTCGGTTTGGACGGACCATGAACACAAATGTGGATGACAGTGGTTAGAAAGAGTGAGTGGAATCTCGCTGGCCCCGTCCCGATCTATCTGTCACCCAGTGCAGCAAATGGGTTGTTTTCTTGCTTTACCATTTTTTTAAAAAAAAAAACAATATGAACAAAAGGGAGTCGAGGAATGGAAACGGTTCCTAGCCATAAATCGTACACATTGTTTTCTGGAAGCCATAATAATTACGACGTCCATCCCAGCAAACCTGGGCAGCTGGCAGCTTTACTCTAGACTCAGTTTTCCATGTGAGAAATAATTTGTGCTATTACAGCAAACTCAGAAACCAGAGTTGGAGGAGTATGAGTCTTTTTTTAAAAATATTTATTTATTTATTTATTTATTTATTTATTTATGGAGAGCGAGAGAACACAAGCAGGGGAGGGGTACAGAGAGGGACACATAGAATCCAAAGCAGGCTCCAGGCTCTGAGCTGTCAGCACAGAGCCCA